TGCTCGCGCGTGGATCCACGAAAAGCCTCACGATGAACCTTGTGTCCTGGCCCATGTCCACGCTTGCCAAGCGTGCCAAGCACGACGGGAACGGTACTCTGATTCACGCATGGAAGGTACTTAAATGGTCGTTCAACTCACTTGCAACAGGTTAACACCCAACCAGAAATATCTCGGCTGTGCCGACCATACACATAGCTTGGGTAGGACCCAGAATGGCTTGAAGGAGAAGAAGGGCGAGGAGTAGGAGCAGGGGGGGAGGGGGAGGGGCGAAGGGGGGGGAGGAGGGAGGCGGGGGAAGGGGAGGGGGGAGGAGGAGGAGGAGCGAGGAAAAAGGGGGAGGAGGAGGCGGAGGAGGGGCACGATTTTGGTGTCTAATGTATCGGTCCTTTCTCGCTCACCTTTCTCGCCCCCCCCGCGTCTGCTGGCGCCGCTTGTAGCCCGCGCCGGCCTGCGCGACCTCTGGCGGCCCGAGCCGTCTCGCGGCCAGAGCCTTCTCTAGGTGGATAGGGCAGGCAAGGGCGGCAGGCGGGATGCGCCGGGGACGAGCAGGATTGGTAGGGGCAGTGAGAGGGTAAGGTGCCACCTGCTGTCCTTCGGTGCCCCGAGGGAGTCGGATTGGGATGGTGGGCCTTTGGACCCAGGTCGGCAGTCGCTGGCGGGGCAGTGGTTGACGGATCGTGATTCTAGGTGCAGAGCATTTATCTATGCCGTGCTCGGCGATTTAGAGTTTTTCTCTAACTACCTGGGGACTCCCGCTTCTGGGAGCGATTATTTCTGTTGGGTTTGCCCATGCAACAAAACTACCAACCCCTACAACAACTTCAACGGGGACTCCCCGCACCACTGGAGACACCATTCCCGTGAGTACAGAATAGAGCACCCGTTGTTCGAGATTTGGGGCGTGAGCCTCGCGTCCTTGGCACTGGACTGGATGCATACAATGGACTTGGGTTGTGCGGGGCATAGCATAGCTAACCTATTCTTTGAAATAGTATTCGAAGAAGCAGACGGGCCAAGGGTTCAGCGGGTCGAGCGTTTATGGCACCGCATCCAGGAGTTGTATTCAGAAGAGGGTGTGGAGCATCGGCTGGGCTCGTTCAAGATCGGCCTCTTTGTGGTGGACCTCGATGCCCCCCATGAGAATTTTCCGACCCTTGCTAAGGTCGTCAAGGCGGCACAGGCCCGAGGTTTGATTAAGGTATGCTTGAAGCTATCGCAGGAATATAACGACGGCTCGGAATGTAAGAAGCTTCGCGTCCTGCAGTTCAAGTCGCTGCTAAACATGTATGAGATCGTTGAGTCTGGGGACATGATCCTTTCGCGCCCAGATCGTGACCGCCTTGTAGAGTCGGCCGATAACTACTTGACTTGCTACCAGTACCTCTCAGAGAGGTCGTTCAACCAGGACAGGCCCAGGCTGAAGTATAGTGTGGTCAAAAAACACATTTTTTTATTTCATGTGGTTCGTTGTTCCGCCGTGAACCCACATTTTACGTGGTGCTACCAGCCCGAAGACTACATGCGCTTCATTACACGGGTTGGCAGCGGGTGTGCCACTGGGACCCCCATCAACATGGTATGCGCGAAAATCTCTGAGAGGATTAGGTGCGGGAGGCATGCCGAGGACTCCGTCCATGAACCGCTTGGGGCTTCGAGTCTAGGCAAAAAAGGGAGAGGAGGGGGATGGGGGGAGGAGCAAGGTGAGGATGGGGGGATGGGGGATGATGGGTGAGGACGAGGAGGGTGACAAGGAGGAGGAGGAGGAGGGTGGGGGGAGGAGGAGGGAAGAGAGAGGATAGAGGGGAGGAGGGGAATGATGAGGCACTTCCTCCTCCACCTCATCTTTCCTCCCTCCCCCCTTCCTTTTTTTTCCTCCTCTTTATACCCATGGCCTCGCCCCCCCCCCCCCCTCCCCCGCCCCCTCCCCCCCCCCCCCCTCCCCCACTTCCTTCTCCCGCCCCGTTTCCTCTCTCTCTGCGCGCCTGGCCTGCCCGCGGGGTGGCGGACCTCGAGTTTACGCGTTGCTGCCTGGACTAGGCGCGCGTGCAGCCGATTCCTCCTCCTCCGTCTCTTTTCTCCCAAGTCACCCCCCTCCCCCTCCCCCAGCCACGCTGGCTGCGCCCCCCCCCCCCCCCCCCCCCGCCCCTCAGCTGCAGCCAATATGATGACGATGAGGGGGAGAAGGAGGAGGATGAGGGCGGGAAGGAGGATGGAGGCAGGAGGAAGATGAGGATAACGACGAGGAGGACCAGGACGAGGAGGACGAGGACGAGGGCAATGACGACGATGATCCACCCCCTCTCATCCACTCCCCCCGTGGTGGCTGCACCCCGCGCGTCGTGCCGCGGGATCCCGAGGCGGATCGCGCCGCCTCCAGAAGAGGCGGGCTTGCCCTCGCAAGAAATCGCGGGCCGCCTTTGCAGCAGGAGGGAAGAGGAGAAAGAGATGGACAAGAGAGGAGGAACAGGAGGAGGAGGGGGAGGGGGAGAAACAGGAGGGGGAGGAGGAGGCAGGGTAGGGGAAGAGGAGGAGGAGGATGATGATGAGGAGGAAGAGGACCTAGAGGGACAACAATCGAGATATGATGAAGTGAACGGCATCGCGAGGACGAGGAGGAGGAGGAGGAGGACAAGGCAAACGAGGATGAGTAGAGGGCCACTGGTCCCACGCCGATCGGGTATGCCCACCGCAGGTCACCTCCTCCTCCCCTCCTCCTCCCTTCCTCCTCTTCGTTTCCTCCTCCTCCTCCTCCCCCCTGCCCGATGCCCCTTCCCCTCCGCACTCCCTTCCCCATACGCAACTACCCTTATCTCTCCCCTGCGTTGGTATGTACGGATGCATGTACGTATGCATGTATGTATGTATCTAGGTACGTATGTATTCATGTACGCACGTATGCATGCATGTATGTATGCATGTAATTCATGTAACCATACATGTATGATGTATGCGTGCATGTATGTATGTATGTATGTATGTATGTATGCATGCATGTATGTTTGTATGTATGTATGTATGTTTGTATGTATGTATGTATTTGTGTGTATGTATGTATACATGCATGCATGCATGCATGTCTGTATATATGTATGTATATAGGTATGCGTGTACGTATTAAGATATGAACGTATGTACGTATATATGTACGCATGTCGGTATATGTAGGCATGTGTGTTTGTGTATACATGTACGTTTGTATGATCACGTGCACACATGCATGCATGTTAGTACGAAAATATGTATGCATATAAGTATATAAGTATGCATGCGTATACGCATGTAGGTATGAATGTATGTATGTATGCATGTGTGTATGTGTACACTCACGCATGATATAAATATGTAGATATGTGGAGAGATATGGACTCATGTAAGCAAATACGTATCGTCGGTAACGGTCGGTCGCGGTCGGTCGCGGAGGGTTCGTTTGTCAGATTCGGAAGGCTTGTTCTGACAAAAGTATCGTTACCGACCGCGCCCGAAATTGGCTCTCCCACCGTTACCAGGCGCGACCGACCGCGCCCGAAATTTCAGCGGTAACGGTCGGTCTCGGTAATTTCATCTCGAGCCCGAAATTTTTCGGGCTCGCATGATCTGGGCTGGATTGACCCCGGCCAGTAGATCCCCGACCCGACCCCCAACCCCAGACATGCTCGCGTCGTGAAGAACTCAGGGCAAGAGGTTTTTCGCCGTTTTCGGCCTCTAGAAGACCTTACCAGGCCCCGGGACCGTCAAAGAACGACTTCCATGGGATGCTGAACCGGTCCTGTGGGAAGGGCCGGGGTTTCTGGGGACCACGTGTTGAAAAAATCCTGGCGCCCGAGGTAATTATGGGAGGCCACCGCTTCGGGGCCACCGCCGTTGCGGCTCGCCTCCCTTTTTTGCCTTACGGCTTGCAAGACATTCGAGCGGCCCCTGAAGGGCCCGCCCCTCGTTTCCCGTCGCGGGGGCCCCGCCCGTGCGCCAGGCCATCCGCCCAGCGGCCTGGCCGCTGACCCGCCCGCAGCCCGCCGCTTGAGCTTCTCGCAGCTGCTGCAGCGCCAGCGCACCCGCCCCTGGCCGCCGCCGGTCCGCGCGGCTGCCTCCCCCCCGCCGGGCGTCCCGGTTCTCCAGCCGCCCGCTGCTCACGCTCTTCCACCTGCCAGGCCCCGCCCGCATTGCGGCTGCTGGCCGCCAGCTGCTGGCCCTCCCCGGCAGCTGCCAGGGGCCGCCCTGCAGCCCGGCCGCCACCCGCGCGCCCGCCGCAGCCGTGCTGCATGAGAGTGCCTCCGCGCTCGGTTCCCCGCCCCCCCCTCCGCGGCCGCTCTCCTTCCCCCCCCTCCATCGCGCAGCCGTGCCCAGGCCCCGCTCCGACGCGCGAGCGGATCGCCTCCGCCGCGCCGCGGCGTAAAAAAATGCGTGCGACGTCACGAGAAACGCAAGGCCCAAGTGTGTCTGAATGTTCGGGCACTGCTTGGATCGGCGCGGGGGGTGATAAGGGAGTGAGTAATTTCTGGCCCAAGCTCGTTGGTAATTGGGCCACGTAGCGAAATGACCGAGCCCTTTTTTTTCTGCCACGTGTGGCACTCGGAACCCAGTCATAGACTAGCACCCATGTGTGACCAACTCAGCACCCACTTACGACCCCCCTCCCCTTATCCCCTTGAAGCAACCCCCCCGCGCCGATCCAAGGGGGGCCTCGCCTGGCCCCCAGGGCCGCGCAGGCGCGATCCGGGACGAGCAGCTGGTCCCCGGGAGGGGGTCGAGACTTCCGGGGGGGCCCGCATGGAAAAAAGAAACAATGCTAAACAAGCACGCGGATACACACACACACACACGCAAACACACACAAACAAACAAACGAAACAAAACACATTGCAACAGCAACATCAGCAACAACAGCAGCAACAACAGCAACAACAGCAGCAGAAACAACAACAACAGCAGCAACAGCAACAACAGCAGCAGCAGCAGCAACAAATAAAACAGATGAACAAACGTCGTGGACCTCTGAAGAGGAGGCCGGCCCTGCGCCAGAGCGGCCAGCGCCCGCCGCGCCAGGCGACGACGACCAGGACCACCCGCGGGCGAACAAAAATAGAGCCGCATCCGCGGCCTCTCGCGGGCCGGGCCCCAGGGCCGCGACGCCGCGGAGTTACTGGGCGCGGTTGTTCCGCGGGTGCCCCGCGCGGAGCGTGCCCCCCGGGCCCCAGACCCCCGACGTCACGATTTGTTCATAGCGTCGACTCTGGAAGTCTCGATCCATGTCCCCGGGACCAGCTTGCCGTGTCCCGAGTCGTCTCTTCACGGCCCCGGGGGCCTGGCGAGGGCTGCAGAGGCGCAGGACAGCGAAGAAGAACTTCCCTCCGCGATTTGTTGTCCATGACTCTGCTTTTTTGCGGAAGAATGTCCGTGACTTTGCGGGGGGCCGGGGACCGCGCCCTGGAGTCCAGACCGCGAGGCCGCGGACGCGGATGCGGCCGCCGCCCGCGGAGGACAGCGAGAGCGGCGCGGACGTGGGCGCCGTCACGGGGCGCCCCGCGGTCGACCCCGCCGAGGTGCTGGAGCTGGCCGGGCGGCACCTGGCGGCGAACCCGGGCCTGCTGGCGCGGATGCTGCCGGCGGGCCTGCCGCCGCCGAAGGAGCGGCGGGCTCGAGGTGGGGTCCCGAGCGCTCCCAGGCCCCCTCGAGTTCCTCCTCCTCCTCCTCCTCCTCCTCCTCCTCCTCCTCCTCCTCCTCTCTCCTCCTCCTCCTCCTCCTCCTCTCTCCTCCTCCTCCTCTCCTCCTCCTCCTCCTCCCTCCTCCCTCCTCCTCCTCCCTCCTCCTCCCCCTCCCTCCTCCTCCCTCCCTCCTCCTCCCTCCTCCCCCTCCTCCCCTCCTCCCTCCTCCCTCCTCCCCCTCCTCCTCCTCCTCCTCCTCCTCCTCCTCCTCCTCCTCCTCCTCCTCCTCCTCCTCCTCCTCCTCCTCCTCTTCCTCTTCCCTCATCTCTCGCCTTCCTGCAGATGGGTCTGGCCTTCTCAGAAGGATCAGACCCAGACCCCCTCGAGTCATGAAAAAACCTCGACGGGAGGTTTTTCGCTATTCTGAGCCTCTGGGGGCCCTTACCAGGCCTCGGGGCCGTCACAAAACGACGCAGAATGAAAAGCCGGTCCCGGGAAAGGGGTCGAGACCCCCAGAGTCGACGTTATGAAAAAATCATGGTGTCGGGGGTTTGGGTTGAGGAATGGGGGCACCAAGGACCCGCCGACTCGCAGGAGCGACCGTTCGCCAGAGTTGCCCATGGTGCTGGCCCGCTGGGGCCCCCCGATCGCTGCACGCGATGCGGTAGCAACGGCTTGCGCGCCCGGGTTTGGTCTCCCCGAGCCCCTCCGAAAGCCGCACACCAATCTTTAAAGGCCACCCTTGCGTAGGGTCGCTGCAGCCGAAGGACGAGAACCTCAAACGTGGAGCTGGCTGGGGGTCTGAGGTGGCCCAGCGCCGGTTCCGGCCAGCAGGACGGGGGCGAGGTTCGAGGTGCTGGATTCAAATCGGTAGTTTGCTTGTTTCTGCCTTTGGGGGCCGTTTACGGACACCAGGACCGTCAAAAATGGATCTGGAGCGAAAAACTACATAGGATGGAATTTCGTGGGAAGGGTCCAGAGACCGACTTTGAGCGAATTTGTCCTTATCCCCCCGTCTCGTCCGATTTCCTCAGGGCCCATCAAGCTCCGACCTCTTTGCCAACTCCAACCGTAAGCCCTGAGGGATGGGGGCCTCAAGGACGAGAACCTCAAGCAATAATGGTTCAACTTGCGATCCACTCCTTTACAGCCCCTTGGAAAAGTAATGCGTCTCCTTCAGGTTGTGCCGAACAAATATCTGGGGGACTTCCCTGAGGATAGTTGTGCATCGCGGGTCCGTTTTTGACGGCCACGGGGCCCGAAAACGGCCTTTGGAGGCCGAACATCGCGAACAACCGAAGACGACGAACCCGAAAGATAAGCGAAGCAGGTGCTTTTCGTTTCCAGGGCAGTGTACTTTGATCACTGCGGAGGTTGCTTTGGAAATTGGGTGGGTATAAGTGGACGCTGAGGTGGGTTATATCTGGCCTCGTTAATCTAGTGAGGCCGCTTGGGACACTTGCAGCGCACTTATAGGCTAGTGCGGTCAGGCCAGGTATAATTCACCTTAGCATGCACCAATAACCGCCCCCCTCTATCCCCTAGTACCCCGCGGTGATCCAAGTAGGACCCCACCCTCAGGGCCCCACCCCTACGCCGCCAGGAGGAGGAGGGGTCGCCCCCGCTCCACCTCCTGGCAAATCCAAGTACCTCCAGAGATCTCCAGGGAAAGTTGGAACAGATCGTGGCCGCTCCCGCGCGAGACGGGGGACGGCAGAAGTCGCTGAGCTCTCAACGAGAGGTCCCCCGGACGTGGACCCCCAGACGTGGACCCCCAGAGGTCTCGACCCATTCTCGGGGGGAACGAAAGGGGGGGATAGCAAAGGGTAGGGTAGAGAATTAGCTCACGTAGCTGATTTTCCCAGCGCCTCCTGGCGCTGGGAGGCGCCCACGTATCGAGGAATGGGCCCGGCGGTGGGGCCGAAACCAGATGCAAGCAGCAGATTTTGTACCCCCCCCCCTTTCCCTATCCCCCCCTTTCGTTTGGCCCGACATTCCACGGGACCAGTTGCCCGTGTCGGTCAGGGTTCCTCTGGCGATTCGGACTAGCGGTCTTTCTCTGGCACCTGGGGCGTCTTGCTGTGCAAGTCACCGCTGGGGTCTTCCTTTTTTCGTGCGGGCCAACCCCATTAGGGGTTGGCCGTCATGCTCGAAACGAGGTGGTCAAGGAGCCATCTTGAGTGGGAATGCTTATACCAAAAAATGAGAAAAACAAGCATAAACAAACTGTTGTTTGATACATGTATAATAAGCACAGAAAACGACGGCCCTGGGGGCGAGGGCCCCCAGAGACTGAAGATTGCCAAAACCCTGCCGCGCCGTGTTTTGCTCGTGGCACGGGGGGGCCTCTGGGCCCTGCGCCGCCGGCAGGAGGGGCCGCCAGAGGGGGGGCAGGGCGCGGGGGGAAGGCTTCCTGCAACCCCCGGCTTCCCAGAAGGCGCGGGCCTCGTCTGCAGATGTGGGGCGGCGCGGGCCTTGGCTGCAGATGTCAGTCCGGCGTCTTCGGAGAGGCAGCCTCCTTCTCGGAAGCCCCCCCCCGTCCCCCCTACCCCCCTCTGCGCGCCGTCAACGAGGGCCGCCTACGATCCGATTCGATGCGATTCCGTTCGCCAGCTGGGGCCGCGATTCCAATTCGATGCGATCCGGCTCTATTCACCAGCATCCGCCAGGGCCAGCCAGAAGCGGGGCGTGGTGATCCGATACCGATCCCACTCGTCGGGACGATTCGCTGGCGATTCGATCCGTTCTCGACCCGAGCCGATCTCACGATCCGATCCAGCGCAGACCTGCCAACACGAGGAGGAGGAGGAGGAGGAGGAGGGGGAAGAGGAGGAGGAAGAGGAGGAGGAGGAGGAGGGGAGGAGGTGAGGAGGAGGGGGAGGAGGAGGAAGGGAAGGAGGAGGAGGAGAGGAGGAGAAGGGGATGAGGAGGAGGAGGAAGATGAGGAGGAGGATGGAGGAGGAGGAGGAGGAGGAGGAGGAGCAGCAGCAGGAGGAGGAGGAGCTCTGCATGCAGCCAACGCGAGGAGGGGCTGCCCCCGCTCCGCCTCCTGGACGTCGCGCGCGGCCGCCTCCGCGCGGCGCACGCCTCGGCCCGGCCAGGGGCGGACGCCGCGGCCCCGGGCCGGCCGGCGCCCGCCGCGCGGTGGCGCGCCCGCGGCGGGAACTTCCTGGACGCCGCGCTGCGGGTGGAGCTGGACCCCGACCCCCTCGGGGAATGAAAGAATCATGACGGGGGGGGTTTTGCTATTTTCAGCCCCTGGGGGCCCTTACCTTGGGACCGTCAAAAAACAGCTCAGGAAGAAAAGCCGGTCCCGGGGAATGGGTCGAGACCTTTGAGGGTCGACGCAATGGAAAAATCAGAACGTCGGGGGCCTGGGGGGGAGGAGAGGGGGCCACCCTGAGATCATGGCGTCTCCATTCAGGCGATCGAAGACATGGATCATGGGGGCGTGGATTAGCGACGGGCCCCGCTTCCATGGGAAATCGCGGATTTCCGCCGCCGAACGAGGCGGCACCGGCCGCATTGTTGGGGAGGGTACCTCCCCCGATCCATGGATTTGGCGACGGCGCGCCAAATCCATGGATCGCTAATCCATGTTTGCGCGCCCCCGACCAATTTTTTCGAGCCAAGCGTTTTCGCCTTTTGTCGGGCCCGGGTGCCCTCCCAGATCGACCTTGCTCGGAAAACAGCGCAGACAGGTAGGGTCTAGGGCTCCAGGCGTGATTTTCTACGATGTTGCATGTTTTTCGCTGCGTCGGATCTCAGCGGACCGACACCGCTGCCCTTCCCTCGTTTCGGCAGCCTCGAGACGGAGCCCAATGCAGTTGGGGGTCAGCCAGAGCGCCGCCGATCTTGCAGGACCCTGCAAATCCTGACTGGCCCGGGTTTGGATTGACCCGGGTCAGTAGATCCCCGATCGGTCTCCCCTTTTCTGGCCCCCCCAGGAGGGCCTCGCCGCCACGGCTGGACTCGCCTCGAAGTCCTGGCCAGAGCGCACCCTGGGAGAGGTCCGGGGAAGCAGCGGTACATCGATACCTCCTGGTCCCCCCCCCTTCAGACCCCGACGTCATGATTTGCCATAACGTCGACTCTGGAGGTCTCGACCCACTCCCTGGGACCGATTTCTCATCCTGAGCCTCTTGTTTGATAGCCCCGAGGCCCAGTGAGGTCCCCCCAGAGGCCCAGAGTAGCGAAAAACTGCCCGTCGTGTTTCACGACTCGAGGGGGCCTGGGCCCAGGACCTGGACGGCGGCGGCGCGGCGGAGACGGCGGAGCCGGCGGGCACGGAGTGCGCGGGCGGCGGCGGCGCGCCCGCGGCCGCCGCGCTGGTGGAGGTCTTCCACGCGGAGCGCCGCGGCCGGGCGTTCGGTCACCCGCTGCTCCTGCCCATCCGCGCAGGCGAGCGTTAAGTCGGGCATGTCCCTCTACAGGAGGAATGCTCGAAGACAGTTTGAAAAATACCCTGCGACGTACCCAACCCATTTGCATGAAGTGTCAAGAGGAGTTGGCCCAAACTTGCCAGAACAACGACAGTGCAGGAGCCGTTTTGCGGTGTGCAAGCTACACGGGGTGCGCTCGTGTGGCACGGTTCACAGGACAACAACATAAGGACGAGGAGCAAGGGCCCAGGCTTGAAGAGAACATGGGGGCGGGAACGAATGGCAGGAGAAGGACGCGTGGGGGGCCGCAATTGTCAGCGCGGCAGCAGCAGACGGAAGGCGGCAGGGGGCGGAGGACGACGACGAAAATGACGGGAGAAGACCGAAAAGTGTTGCTATTGTCGGCGCTACGCTCAAGATGCAGCGCCGACTGCGCTATGACGCCGCGGCGCCTGACAAAATGGTTGAACTTTCTCATACATAGTACAAGAAGCGAGCGAGGCCTAGCTCGCCCGCCAGTTTCCCTGCTTCCTTCCTGCACTTCTCAGCGCCGTCAGGTCTACGGGCGGCCCGCGACAGCGCCCCGCGGGACAGGTCTGGGTGGCGACAGTTTCGCAGATCGCGGTCCCCCAGGAATGGCGAGATCTAGTCTGGATCTGGGTGGTACCTCCTTCCGCTGGACCATCCAGCGGCCCTCGAAAGTGGCGACAGTTTCACATCAAGCCCCCCAGGGACGTCGAGGTCTAATCTGAATCTGGGTGGTGCCTCATTCCGCTGGACCCACGAGCAGCCCTCGAAAGTGGTGACAGTTTCACAGATCGCAGCCCCCCCAGGGATGGCAAGGTGACGTAGGACGGCGAGGCGAGGAGGTAAAAGGCAAGAGGGCAAAGGAGGAGGGAGGAAAGGAGGAGGGGGCGGGAGAGGGCGGAGACCGCAATGCTCTATTCAAAACGAAAACCTAACGCAGGAGGGTTGGGAAAAATAGCTTGGGGGCGATGCTTCGATTATGCTTTGACTATGCTTGGATATGGTTTGACAAATTTTCGTTTTCTTCCAAAACCCGCCTGTAGGAGGACTTGCCCGACCTAAGGCGAGCGTGCGGCGGCGGTGGGCGCGCGGCTGCGGGCGTGCCTGGGCGCGCCCGAGGCCGAGGCGCGCGGGTGGCGGCTGCTGGTGTCCGAGGGCCCGCCGAGGCAGGAGGCCGCCAGGAGGAGTCGGATAGGAGGAAAAGGGCACCGTGGCCGCTGCACATGGCATCGCTCGGGCGCGTATGCATGCTATCGCGGCGAGGGCCATCCAGGAGCATCCTGGATCATCGAGCCAACAAAAAAACACGCAAAAAAAACCACGAGACCGACAAACGCACGGGAAATGGACGTTCGAACGATGGCGAGTCACACTTCCCTCGTTCTCAGCCTTCTTGAGCATCCGGGGAGGCCCTCGTCGCCACAGCGGCATTTGCCTCGAAATATGGGCCAGGACGCACCACGGGAGAGTTCTGGGGAGCAGCGGTATCCTTTACTTGACTCGATACCCCGCGCGGAAGCGCCGCACGTGCCGTGCTCAAAGCGTCCGTGCCAGCACGCTGCGTGCTGGCCAGGCACGTGTGGGCCCACGTGCTGGCGAACGTATCGCGCCAGACCCACATGCTCAGTCCACGTGGTGAGCCCCGTGTCAACACGTCACGTGTTGCGCGTCGCGTCCCGAGGCAGCTGTGCGTGGGCACCTCCCCACCTCCCCCAGGAAGCCCTTGGAGGAGACGGACGAGTGGCCGCAGGGCCCGCGGGGGCCTCCCCAGGGCGAGCCCAGCCGCGCCGCCTGGCGGCCCGGTGGCCTGGCCCTGTGCGTGGAGAGGGAGCACCCCGTGCACGGGCCCCGGTCGTCCCAGGGCGCCAACGTGGCGCGGAAGGCCCGGCCGCTGACCATCCGGGCGCGCTGACGGCCGCCGAGCTGATCGGGCCAGACGAAAGGGGGGGGATATAGGGAAGGGGGGGGAGGCACGAAATCTGCTACATGCAGCTGGTTTCGGCCCCATCGAGGAGCCCATTCCTCGATACATAGCCGCCTCCGGCGCCGGGAGGCGCCGGGAAAATCAGCTACGTGAGTTGATTCTCAAACCCCCCTTTTGCTATCCCCCCCTTTCGCCCAGCCCGAGCTGAGCGGCCCTCCCCCCGCCCCCCAGGCGCCCACGGTGGCGCCAAGGGCCCGAGGGGGGCTGCCGACCATCGGAGCGCGCCGACGGCCGCGGGGCGGTCGCCATCCCTGCGCCCGCGGTCGGCTGGGCGCGCTCGGGGGCCAAGAGTCAGTATCGTTTCACCGACCCCCATCCCCATCCCCATCCCCTTCGAGACCCCCACTCAATTACCCCCCCCAGTTGGGGATACACCCCTCGAAACCCGAAGGTAACGGCATCTAGGGGGGTAGATTGGCCAGTGGGGCCCAGGCCACGCCGCTGGGGATGGGGATCGGTTGGTTAAACGATACTCAAAAGGGGGGGCTCGGGAGCAAGCAGTCGGACCCGCCCGGGGCAGGAAAACCGGAGGCCCGAGTGGGCCGGACGCTGCGCCGCCTGAGCTCATGAGAGCGCCTTGGCCTCCCCACTTGGTCTCCGGCCCAGGGCTCCACTCGACGGCCTCCTCCAGCCGCACAGGCTGCGAAAGTTTGAGGGAAGAGCGTCGGCGGGGGGCGCCTGCTCAGAGATCCGATGTCGTGATTTGTTCAATACGCGGTCCCCCGAAGTCTCGACCCCTTCCCCAGGACCGGTTTTTCATCCGGAGTCGTTTTTTGACGGTCCCAGGGCCCGGCGAGGGCCCCTGGAGGCCGAAAATTTAGAAAAAGACCGTCTTGATTTTTTCAATGCGTTGGATCTCTGGGTGGCTGCGTGTTCCTGGGGCCCCCGTGGCCCTTCGGGTGGCCAGCCGACGGCGGCCACGTCCGCACAGTCACAGCGAGCGGGCGCTCCGCGCGCGCGCTCGAGGAGGGGCCGAGCAGGCCCGTCGCGCACGGCTGCGCTTAAGTCGGGCCCGTCCCTCTACAGGGGGAATATTCATAAATAGTGAAAAATAGTCTGGAGACTATTTTTTTTTAGTATTTTGGGGCATATTTTGAATTGCTTCATCTCGTCAAAAATCCCCCTGTAGGAGGACAGGCCCGACCTCAGGCTATGCCAGATCGGGGGGAGGGGGGGAGGCACATTCATCTCTGCCATCTCGTTTGTCATAGTGCAGCACAGAGGATGAACGTCGAGAGTGCAAGAGCTGTCTGGGGCCCACGCCAGGGTAACAGATGATCCTGAGGCTAGGTCCAGAAACTGCACGTGTGGAGGGCGAACGACTTTCAAAGTGATGGAGGGGCAGGTCTTTCCCAAAAGGTGCGTCCGCGGTGGAATTGCGCGCATTCGCCTCATGTGTTTCTAACAGCTACGCGGATGGCGGGCGGCTCCTTTACCAAATTGGGAGTTCGCTTGATATTCCCCCGAGTGGCATGACCATACATTTGAATTCGTGGAGCAGGTACACAAGTGGATGTCGATTCCCGTTCACAGTGGGTCTCTCGCTTGAGGCTTCTTAAAGCTGATCGTAAGACAGTGAAGAAGTGTGGACCAGCTACAGAATTGGGGACGGTTCATTCTCCAAATGTTGCTACTGGGTGCAATCACATTTGGTTTTATGACCCGACGTTGTGAGTTCCATGTCAAAACGGGGCTATGATGGAATATGCATGTGAGGTGTATTATCCTAATTCGTCGCATCGCGATGGGAAACCCTTTTGTCTAAGATGAGTGTTCGCCTCTATCAAGGGTGCGCGCTTCCCGCAGTGAAGAGGACTTGCTGAAAGGAATTCTGAGGAGAGGATTCGGAACGGGAGGGCGCCTTGCAGCAACGTTGGTGCATCGTCGGTTCACTCTGACCCTCCTCGTGTTCCTCTCCTCTCATCGCTTTACTTGCCCCCCCCATTTGTGTCCGTGCTGTTCCTACCCGCGCAGCAGAAGTTCGCACTTCAGCGTTGCCTCAGCGTTGTGAGCGTTCAGGCTAATAGAGTCTTCATTGTGTTCGATCGCCTGCCCCTCCTGCCTCTCTTGCTCATTCCTCCTTCTTCCTCCTCCTCCTCCTCCGCCTCCTCCTCCTCCATCCTCCTACTACTCATCCTCCGCCTCCTCCTCCACTTCTTCCTCCTCCTCTTCCTCCTCCTCCTCCTCCTCCTTGGTTTCCTCTCCTCATCCTCCGTTCTCCTCCTCCTGCTTCTCCTCCGCCTCCTCCTCCTCCTCCCGCGCTTCTCCTCCTCATCCTCCGTTCTCCTCCTCCTACTCCTTCTTTCCTCCCTCCTCCTCCTCCTCCTCCTCCTCCTCCTGCTCCTCTTTTCCTCCCTCCTCCTTCTCCTCCTTCTTTCCTCCCTCCTCCTTCTCCTCCTCCTCCTCCTCCTCCTCCTCCATCCTCCTACTCCTCATCCTAATCCTCCTCTTCCTTCCGCCTCCTCCTCCTCCTCGTGTTTCTTTCTGTTCATCCTCCGTTCTCCTCCTCCTCCTCCTCCTCCTCCTCCATCCTCCTACTCCTCATCCTCCGCCTCCTCCTCCTTTCCTCCTCCTCTTCCTCCTCCTCCTCCTCCTCGTGTTTCTTCTTCTTTTCATCCTCAGTTCTCCTCCTCCTGCTTTCTCCTCCGCCCCTCCCTCCTCCTCCGCGCTTCTCCCCCTCATCCTCCGTTCTCCTCCTCCTACTCCCTTCCTTCCTTCCTCCTCCTCCTCCTCCTCCTCCTCCTCCTCCTCCTCCTCCTCCTCCTCCTCCATCCTCCTCCTCCTCCCCTCCTCTCCTCCTCCTCCTCCTCCTCCTCCTCCCTCCTCCTCCTCTCCTTCCCTCCTCTCCTCCTCCTCCTCCTCTTCCTCCTCCTCCTCCTCCTCCTCCTCCTCGTGTTTCTTCTTTTCATCCTCCGTTCTCCTCCTCCTCCTCCGCCTCCTCCTTCTCCTCCTCCTCCGCCTCCTCCTCCTCCCCGCGTTTCTCCTCATCCTCTGTTCTCCTCCTCCTACTCCTTCGTTCCTCCCTTCTCCTCCTCCTCCTCCTCCTCCCCCTCCTCCTGCGGGCGGAGGCGGGACTCCCTGCAACTGTCTCGTCGAGTTCTTTCTGTAGGAGGAGGAGAAAGGATGATCAGGAGCAGAAACACGGGGAGGAAAAGGAGGAGGAGGAAGAGCAGGAGGAGGAGGAGGAGGAGTTGGAAGAAGAGGGGGAAGAAGAGGGGGGAGGAAGAGGAGGAGGAGGAGGAGGACCAGAGTTAACCCAAAGCGCACCAATGAGTTGCAATGCATTGTCCCTCCAAGCTCCCTCTTTATAGGTCCCTACAACAATTTACTATCACTGCGGGAAGACCCATTAGAAGACAACAGCTTACGAATCTTCAATCGTGCCAGAAGACCGCTCATGAGACTCCAACGCGCGGATCAACGTGACCGATGCGCAATGGGAGTCCTAAATCGCGACAGAACACCAATCCTTGGACTCACCGCGAATCAACATATCCGTTGCACCCTGACAATATTCAACCATGTCTGAACACCATTCCTGGGACTTCAGCCACACGAACCCCTGCAACTGCTGCAAACATGTAAGAAGATGCGCGTGGCGCGCGAGAGCCACATATTGAAAAGAAACCGTCCCCCGTGTTCGAAAGTGCTGCAATATTAAAACGGATGTGCGTTGCGCTGAGGCGAGAGCCACATTTAGAAAACGACCTGTCCTCCATCCTTGAAGCAGCTGCAAACTTGTACGACGAATGCGCGCGGCGCTAAGGCGAGAACCGCATTTTGAACACGACCCGCCCCAATCTGCGAAACTGCTGCAAACGTTTACGACGAATGTGCGTGGCGCTAAGGCAAACCGCTAAGGCAAGCCCAGCCCGCCCTACGGACACGTCTGCGGGTGCGACAGGGAGGAGTTATTCGGGAAGGAAAAGACATTGCAGCGGAGGAGAAGGAGGAGGGGCAGGGCGAGGGGGAGGAGGGGGAAGAGGAGGGGGAGGGGGAGCGGGAGAGGGAGGGGGAGGAGAAGGAGGAGGAGGAGGAGGAGGAGGAGGAGGAGGAGGAGGAGAGCGGCGGAGGACGGAGGAGGAGGAGGAGGTGGAGGAGGAGCAGGAGCAGGAGGAGGAGCAGCAGGAGGAAGGGGGGGGGGGCGGAAGGACCCGAGCCGCGCAGCAGTACATACCGTGTATGGAATCTAGTGGACTTCGGGCGCGGGAGCTCATAGCCCCCGCGAGACAGCTCGGAGGCCAGACGAGCGCACGGGCATCATGGGCTCTGTCGGGCGCCTGCGGGCGGCACACCCCTCGCCGCCCGGCGGCCCGGCCCCGCCCCCGCCCCCGGGGCTCAAGATACGGGGGTCGCCGCCCCTGGGGGGTCAGTCAGAGCGCCCAGATCTTGCTTTCGGTCGGGCATGTCCCTCTACAGGAGGTTCACTCAAGACTAACTAGTTACAATATGGTCTGTGGACGACGTTTCGACCATGTCTTCTTCTACAATGCTTGAAGATATCTGGACTGTCTGGAACCTGTCCTCCAAAATCCGCCTGCAAGAGGACATGCCCGAACTAAGGCCAGGGTTGTAATTACTGACCCGGGCTTCGGCGCAGGATCCTGCAGGGCCTCGTGGGACCTTGCAGGATCCTGCAGAGGCCAGCTGACCCGGGCCCGGATATTGACCCGGGTCAGCAGATTCCCGACCGCCAGGGTGGCGATGCCCTCGTCGCCGCCCGGGGCGCGGCCTCGCGCTCCCTAGAGGGGCGCGGGCCCCCAGATCTCATACAACCTTAGTTGCCTCGATACGCCCGCTTGGAACGCAGAAAACACGGCATAATCATGAACTGTCGACGCTCCACGCGGGTATCTTGGATTGGCGCGGGGCCCCCGGGCGGCGCCTCTGTCGCCGCCCCTGGCGCGCTCCGCGCACCAGGGAGGGGG